TCCTTCTGCCCCAGCTCTCTCCCTTCTGTTTCTATTCTTCTATTCTTCCCATCATCCCCTCTTTCTCCTCTCTCGCTCTCCTTTTCTCCCCGCTCCCCTCTGTTTTTTCTCTCTCCTCTCTGTCCTCCTCTCATTTCTCTATTCTCTCTCTCTTCTCTCTCCTTCTGTTTCTCTCTCTCTCCTTCTCTCCAGCTCTCTCCCTTCTGTTCTATTTCTTCCCATCATGCCCTCTTTCTCTCTGCTCTTTGTCCTTTTCTCCCCACTCCCCTCTGTTTTTCTCTCTCTCTCCTTTCTCCTCCTCCTCCTTGTCTGTTCTCTCTCTCTCTCCTTGTCTCATTTTTCTCTGTCTCTCCTTCTGTCTTATCTCTCTCCTCTGTCTCTATCTTCCCATCATCCCTCTTTCTCTCCTCTCTTTCTCCTTTTCTCCCCGCTCCCCTCTGTTTTTCTCTTTCTCCTCTCTTCTATCTCTCCTCTCTCTCCTCCGTCCTCTCTGTTTCTCTCTCCTTCTCTTCTCTTCTGTCTCTATCCTCCCATCACCCCCTCTTTTTCTCTCTCTCTCTCCTTCTGTCTGTTCTCTGTCCATTCTTGGTCTGTGACTGGGTAATGAGAGGTTTTGGTTTTGGTTTTGGTGCAGGTCCTTTTCAGACGTTCTCTCCGAACGACACAAATGACACAAACCTTTTACACCGGGTTCAGAGAAAGTGCATTTTTCCTTCACCATTTTGAAAACTTGTATTTTGTATTTTTATTTTGTTATTTGTTGAGGAAGAGGACGAGGACGAGGACGGCGGCTCTTCCTCCAACGGGGTCAACGTGTCCCTATGAACGTAACCGGATCAGACACGGAGCTGAGGAGCCACTTTAAAAGAAGACTTACGGAGGAGAGGAAGAGGGAGAAAGAGAGGAGAGGGGGGTTAAAAAGAAGACTTAGAGAAGAGAGAAAGAGAGGGAGAAGGAGGAGAGAGGGAGAGGAGGCGGGGTGAAAGGAAGACTTAAAGAAGAGAGGAGAGAGGGAGGGAGAGAGGAGAGGGCAAGGAAAGAGAGTGGGCTTAAAAAGAAGAGTTAGAGAGGAGAGAGAGAGGGAGAAGGACAGGAGAGGGAGAAGGACAGGAGAGAGGGAGGGAGAGAGGGAGGAAAGGGTGGGGAAAGAGAGGGAGGTTAAAAAGTTTAAAAGAAGACTTAGAAAGGAGAGAGAGAGAAAGAGAGACAGATAGATAGAGAGAGAGAAAGAGATAGGGACGGAGATGAAAAAGAAAAACTTAGAGAGGATAGAGAGAGTTTCTCTCTCCTTCTCATTCCTCTCTCTCCCCTCTGTCTCTATCCTCCCCAAAGAGAGGGGGTTTAAAAAGAAAAGAGAGAGGAGAGAGAGAGAGTGAGAGAAAAGAGAGGGAGAGAGAGAAGACAACTGAGAGGGGAGAAAGAGGGAAAGAGAAAGAGAGAGGGAGGGAGAGAGAGAGAGGGGAGAATGATAGAAAAGGGAGGGTTAAAACAACTTAGAGAGGAGAGAGCGAGAAGAATGAGGAAAGAGATGGAGGGTTAAATGACAACTTAGAGAGGAGAAAGAGAGAGAGAGAGAGAGAGAGAGAGAGAGAGAGAGAAAAGAGAGGAGGGTTAAAAGACATTTTAGCGAGGAGAAAGAGGGAAAGAGAGAGAGGAGAATGAGAGGAAAGAGATAGAGGGTTAAAATGACAACTTAGAGAGGAGAAAGAGAGAGAGAGAGAGAGAGAGAGAGAGAGAGAGAGAGAGAGAGAGAGAGAGAGGGAGGTGGGGGGCTGAGAGGAAAGAAGGAGAGGGATCAAAAGGCAACTTAAAGAGGGAGAGAGAGAGAGGCAGGAGGAAAGAAGAGAAATTAAAAACATGACATAGAGAAAAGAGAAAGAGGGAGAGGAAAAAGGGGAAGAGGGAGGGAGAGGGACGTTAAAATGATTACTTAGAGAGGAGAAAGGGGGAAAGAGGGAGAAACAGAGAAGGAGATAGAGATGGAAGAGAGAGAGGAAAGCGAGGGGAGAGAAAAGAGAAGGTGGGGTTAAATGAACGAGAAAAAGAGAGATGGAGAGAGGGAGAAAGGGGAAGGAGAGAGGGAGAGAAAGTGAAAGGAGACAGAGAGAGTAAGGAAGGAAAAGAGAGGGAGAAAAGAGAGAGAATCATTTCATAGAGGCTGTGTATTCCCGGCTTCTTCGTTTAATAAGATCCAGAGTGTGAGTGGATAAAGTGTGACACAGGGAGGTGAAGGAGAGGAGGAAGACTTATAGAGAGAATACAGACGGAGGGAGAGAGCGAGGGATTAAGAGTAAAGTAAATTTAGTCTGAAAGAGGAGAGAGCAGAGCCAGATGGTCATTTCAGTTATATACGGCAACATAAGTGCATATGTATAAGTGCATTTATCCAAAAGACGAAAGGCGTACACACATTTGGATCTTTGCCGGGAGCAGTGATGGGAACTACATTTTATGGCACCAAATTGTTAACAACTCTGCCACTGCTGGAGATTTCTTCCATTAACAGTGAGTCTCCCATAGAGTTATAATGGTCCAGCCCTCCATCTGAAACTACGACACCATCAGATTCTAAATTCAGTTATAGTCCCATTAGAACTCAACTATTATAAATCCCATTATAACGACACATGTTATTAGACCCATGTTCTGGTGTCTCATGTCCTAGTGGGGTCTTTCTCCATAGGACATAACCTCCCACATGACGATAAGGCTGAACTAACTGTTTGTCGATTAAAATTAACGTAATCAATGAAATTCTTAATGATCAATTATCGATTAATTGATTAATCATGCCCATCCCTAGTTATCAGAGTCACATCCTGGTGCCCCATGTAATAGTAGGACCTCTTCTTTGTAGGACATCACCTTCCACATGAGACTGACCCAAACCTTTACAATCCTCATTATAATCCCCATTACAAACCCCATTATAAATCTCATTATAAGCATGTTTTAACAGACTCATGTCCTGGTGTCCTATGTCCCAGTAGGACCTCTCTTTGTAGGACATCACCTCCCACATGAGAATAACCCAAACCCTTTGAAACTATATTACAGACCCCATTATAAATATGTTATTACACATGTGTTATCAGAGTCAAGTCCTGTGCCCCATGTCCCAGTAGGACCTCTCTTTGTAGGACATCACCTCCTACATGAGACTGGCCCAAACCATACTAATTCTCATTATAATTCTTATTACAAATCCCATTAGAAATCTCATTATAACCATATTTTTACAAACCCCATAATAAATTCATTATAAACTCCATTATGGATACGTTATTACCCTCATGTTCTGGTGGCCCATGTCCCAATAGGACCTCTTCTATTAGGACATCACCTCCCACATGAGACTGACCCACACCCTTATAATCCCCATTAAAATTCCCATTTCAAACCACATCATAAACCCCATGATAAACCCTTTCTAAACCCCATTGAAAACTCCACTATAAACATATGTATTAACAGACTCATGTGCTGGTGCCAAATGTACCAGTAGGGCCTCTCTATGCAGGACATCACCTCCCACATGAGACTGACCCACACCCTTATAATCCCCATTCTAATTCCCATTACAAACCACATTATAAACTCCATAATAAACCCTTTCTAAACTCCATTGTAAACGCCATTATAAACCCCATAATAAACATATGTAATAACAGACTCACATTCTGGTGCTCCATGTCACAGTACGGCCTCTCTTCATAGGGCACAACAACCCACATGAGGCTAACCCAAACCGTTATAATTCCCATTATAAGCTTCATTATAAACCCCATTATAAATCTCATTCCAACAGACTCACGTGCCGGTGCCCCATGCGACAGTAGGGCCTCTCTATGCAGGACATCACTTTCCACATGAGACTGACCAAAACCCTAATAATCTACATTACAAACCCCATTATAAACCCCATTATAAATATGTTATTATTAGGGATGGGCATTCGATGAAATTTTCTTAATCGATCATCAGAAGAATTAACGATCGTTTATCGAATAATCATTAACGTTTTTATATTAAAATGATCATCATTATTATTACTATCTGCACTAATCAGCATAAATAAATTCAATTTTACGACATATAAACCGTAACCACTCTAGAGTCACATCAGCCCGTTTGACATTAGAATGTGTTTAATTCAGTTTTGCGCAACTCTCACAGAAACAAAATTTAAAAACCGCATCACTAATTTGCATAAACTAAGCGAAGATAAAACTCCAGCTCTTGTGTCGCTGATGCGGTTCAACTTCTGTTGGATTAAAAGACATGACTCAGGTGAATACAGGTTAGTGTGACCAGATTTGCGTTTGTCAAAACCAGGACACCGTACGGGGGGAGGGAGGTGGGGACTCGTCATCGACTTTGCGCTACTCTCACCTGGGAAAAATGTTTCCCACTGGACACCGAACCATATGTTCCTGCTTTGTACACTGTGCACATGGACTCACACTTGTCCCGAACACAATGGAAAGCATGGAATTTCTTGTAAAAGTCATCGTTAAATACACATTTGTGTTTCAGCATGTTGCAGGCTGACCAACTGTTTGTGTCTCGCTCCTTCTGATGCAGAGAGACACATGTACGGACCTGTTTGGTCACGCTACGCCCAGCAACCTACATTCGGTTTGTCGATTAAAATTAACATAATCGATGAAATTCTTAATGATCAATTATCGATTAATCGACTAATCATGCCCATCCCTAGTTATTATACATGTGTAGAGTACAGTTCGGCCTCTCTCCGTAGGACACGACATCCCATGTGAGACTGACCCAAACCCTTATAAACTACATTACAAACCCCATAATAAACCCCATTATAAATATGTTACTATACATGCGTACGGTACAGTATGAACTCTCTCCGTTGGACATGACATCCCACATGAGACTGACCCAAACCCTTATAATCCCTTATAATTTGTTTAATCCCCATTAAAAACGTGATTATAAACCCCATTATAAAAGTGTATTATCACACTCACGTCCTGGTGGCCCATGTCCCAGTAGGGCCTCTCTCCGTAGGACATCACCTCCCACATGACGATCCCGAAGCTCCAGACGTCGGAGGCCGAGGAGAAGCGGTGATACTGGATGGCCTCCGGAGCAGACCACAGCACCACACTCTTACCCCCATGCTGTGGGAAAATCAGGGGAATATATGCTGTGTTACCAAAGCTCGCAGGTTTCCATAGTAACCGTGGACAGTGGGGTGGCCCATACCAGTGTGGTGTAGACGGCCTCGATCTTGTCCTCCTGCAGGGGCCTGAACCCGGACACTTTACAGCACAGGTTAGAATTCACCAGCACCTGAAAACACACAACATACAAAGATTAAACCAGATGCCTGTTTATTATTTAAAGAGGCATTCTTACTGGGAGGGGTGTGGCCTCTCCACAGATCTAACCTGTTACTTTCCTTGACTTGGATATCGACATGTTAAGTATCGCACTTTGGAACATTCCAGTCCGAGTCATGACTAAACCAGTGCGAAATCAAACCAGGTCAATAGAAGAACTACAAACCAGGACTAAGGCAGGAATAAATCAGGACTATAACAGGACAAAACCAGTGCTAAACCAGGACTAAACCAGGATTAAATCAGTGCTAAACCAGGACTAAACCCGGACTAAACCAGGACAAAACCAGGATTAAACCAGTATGAAACCAGGACAAAACCAGGACTAAACCATGACTAAACCAGGACTAAACCAGGACTAAACCAGGACTAAACCAGGAGTGAACCAGGACTAAACTAAAACTACACCAGGACTAATCCAGGACTAAACCAGAACAAAAACAGAAAGGAACGAGGATGAAACAGGACGAAACCAGGACTAAACAAGGACTAAATCGAGACAAAACCAGTTCTAAACCAGGTCAATAGAAAAAATACAAACCAGGACTACATCAGGGACTAAACCAGGACTACATCAGGACCTAAGCTAAGTTCACTTTGTCTTGAATTGCAGTCGTAGTATTGTGTCAGCAGAACAGAGGGAGACTGTTGTTCTGAAAATATGAAACTGCGGGAGTGACAGAAAAAAACATGTGGAATCCTGTTTTTCTTTGTGTTTTTAAATGGACAGATGTTTGAGAGGCAGAACAACAAATGTGTTTATGAAAAAAAAAAAAAAAAACACACACACACACACAGAACAGCTGAGAAGACAAATCTGAAAATCTGTCTCTATTGTTTCTGTCAGCCCACTGTGCACAACATACACATGAGTAGATTGTGTTTACTTAAAGGTGCACTGTGTAACTTTTCTGCTGGAAAAGCTACACAGTTGCTTGTCTGGAGATGTTATTGTTTGGTCTGGAATGTCTCACAGTATGGCATTACAGTGGTCCTCATTTATCGCATGGGTTACGTTCTAAAAATAACCCGTCATAGGCAAAATCCGCGAAGTAGTCAACTTTATATTTTACAATGATTTTATCTGTTTTAAGTCTGTAAAACCCCTCAGCACACATTTTATACACTTTTCTCACACAGGACAGTTAACCCTTTTTACAACCTTCTTAAAACTTATTGCTGCTTTTGTTATTTTCCTTCTTCTTTATGTAAATAATAATTTATTCTGTAATGGAGCCCTACAGCGCAGAGTCCTGCACAGGGCAAATCTGAAGGTTATTCTTTTATATACGTGGATTTTCTGTTAAGTTCCTGAAAAAACACTTCATCAAACTCTGTTCACTTCTGAGCTCCTCTCCACGAGTGTTGCTTTTTCCCCGTGTCTCCAGACTTTGCGTAGTGCTTACAGGAGGTCCCGAGTTGGAGTAGAGTTAAGCAAATTGCCACACTTGTTTCATAAATACTGTGATTGGCGTAGAGAGCTCGTACACAAGGATTTGTGCGTAAGCAAGCTTTATAAATGAGGCCCCAGGACCGGACTAGGACTGAAACACCACAGGAGAAAGGACCGACGGAGAGCTCCGCACCTCACGGTAAGCACACTGCACGCTGCACTTCAGAAGCACACTGCTAGGGATCCAACATTTATGTAAATTTGTCAAGCGGAACACATTCTGTACTGAACAGGAGACACGGCACGAAGAAGACTGATTGACAATGGACTATAATCCGTTAACCAATCAGGACGCGGGGGAGGAACGCAATATGCACTCATATGCTGTAAAAAATAAAAATAAAATAAAAATTACACAAAAAATCCTCAAAACAGCGTGACCGCGAAAGGTGAACTGCAATATAGTGACAACTGTAAACCGTTCTGTCTTCATGGAATCCAAACTAGACAAAGTTACAGACCAGGGGCCTCATTTATAAAGCTCTCTTACTCACAAATCCTTGCGTACGTGCTCTCTACACCAACTGCGGTATTTATGAACCTCAACTAAAGCGTGGCACTTTGCTTAACTCTACGCCAACTCGGGACCTCCTGTAAGCTCTACGCAAAGTCTGGAGACACGGGGAAAAAGCGACACTCGTGGAGAGAAGTTAGAAGTGAAGACAGTTTGAGGAAGAGTTTGATCAGAAAATCCACGTATATAAAAGAATGACCTTCAGATTTGTGCATTTAAGTGTTCGGTTCGCCAAAACACAGAGAAGGGCTGTTTATTCCACTCATTATTCTCCACAATATTATACATTTGAACCTCATGCACGAGCGCGTCCATGTTCCCGGTGCAGCGCAGGGTCTCCAGCAGTCTGCGACCACAGACTTCTACAGAACACAGACTGTGACCAACACAGAGGACGAAATAATGACCCGACCTGAGAGAAAAACTCTTCCCTCGGATGGAGCACAGGAGCTTTTTTGGTTTAATGAAGCACTGGGACTAAATGCAACTTTAACACTTTTACTTTAGTCTTTATGCTCCGAGCATCAGAGTGGCCCGAGTCTGTGGACGACACGAAGCCGACTGTCTGAACCTGACCCGAACCTTAAATATTCCCTACATTTTTTGTATAATTTTTTGTGTAATGGGCAGCTCTTGCACATGAGAGCTGCTCTTTGATAAGAACACAATAATGTCTGTGCCCGCCCTGACCCAGCCCCGTGCACTCACACAGGTAGGCAGAGGTTGGATGTTTCGTGTGGACTTTTATTGGCAGAATAACAGCGCCTGATCTGTATCTGATGTGTTTCAAGCTAATCTGTGTCCTCGTGTCCCTCCCTCGCTCCTTTTGCTCTCCAGGGGAGGGCATCTGAATCTCTTGCACACGCTCATAATTTGACCTTTCAGATCACCGCGTGCACGTATCTATGTGTACATGCATATAATACACAGGGCCAGTCCACACACACATTTTTTTTATTTTTTAGTTTTACCTATTTCCAGCTTATTACCAGGATGTCATGTGGAGTAAGACTGTCTGATTTAAATAAATACAGAAATAAAAATAAATAAATAAATACAAATATATAACATGTTAACGAATGCAAATGTGTAAAATAAACAAAAAATTAATAAATAAAAATAAAAAAAGTAATACTAAAAAAATAAAAATAAATAAAAATAAAAAGCAAAATAAACTAAACATTTAAAAAAATTTAATAAATAAAATAATAGAAAAATAAATAAATGCAAATAAAAAAATGCAAGCTAAAAATGTAAAAATAAACAACAACAAAAACAAAAAAAAAAAAAAAAACAAAACAGACAAATAAAATAATACAAAAATAACTCAAAGTAAGTAAACTAAAAAAGGTCAAATAAACACAAAAAAGAAACCTGACTCGAGTCCCTGTGCGCTCTCTCAGCTCTGTTGGGGCTCAGGTCTTGACTTTGCTTTTCAGTCCCTCTCAGACTTTCGCTGTGGCTCCATTTGTCAAAGTGTGCTGCGTGCGCTCCCATCAGTCACTGCACTCCTCCATCGCTCCCTCTCTCCATCACCTCTGTCCTTCTATAACCCCTCCATTCTCTTTCTCTTAATTAAATCCTCCATCTCCCCTTTGTTTCTCTCTCTCCCTCTCTTTGCATCACATCAACAATCTCCGCTTTCCTCCTCTCTCTTTATCTCTTCATACTCAGCCTCTCCTCCATCCCTCTCTTTCTATCTCTCCCCCACTCTTTTCCCCTTTTGTCTCTCTCTCTTCTCTCTCCCCATATTATGTGCCCATCGCCTCCCTTCTCTTTCATTCTCTCCCCCACTCTCTATCACTTTTCCACTCACTTTTTCTCTTTCTCACTCTTCCTTTCTACTCTACTCCTCCATCCCTCCTTTCCTTCTCTCCCTCCCCACTCCCCCTGCATTGTCTCTCTATTTCTTCTTCCACCATCTCTCCCTTCCCCACTCCCTTCCCTTTAGTCCCCCTTTCTTTCTCTTGCTCTCTTCCCTTCTTCCTCTTCCTCTCCTCTTTTTTTCTCCTCCTTCTCCTCCTCCTCCTCTTCCTCCTCCTCTTCCTCACCTTGTGTGCGGCGAGCCTCTTGTGTACGAAGCCCATCTCGGTCAGGTACTTCATCCCTGAGGCCACTCCGGTCAGCATGTCCATCAGCTGGATCACGCTCAGCTGGCCCTCGTGTTTCTACAACAACACAACAAAACAACAGCTCAGAATACACAGGAAATACGCAAAGTACTACAGAAATATACACTTATAGTATAGACCCTGTAAAAACGTGAAAAACAGAACTAGATCATTGTAAACAGTTTGCATTGGTCCAAAGTTCTTCCTCACGTCACTTGTGCATTCAGAACATTTTTATTATTCACCAAGATGAGTTTATAAAAGCTTTTCACAACTTTCAGAAACCAGAGCTGAGTTGTGCCATCTAACAACAACTAGCATGCTAACAGTGCAATGAAGTTCATTTGGTCTTCTGATAATTTATGTTAGACCAAACACTGAAAAAAATGACTTGTAAGACTTACTAGAAGAAAAGAAATCCTCATAACAATTTGGTCTAGCACTTTTGAAGTACATTTTACTGCTGCAATATTAGGTACAATTTACTGGTCAGTATTAAGTAAAATGTACTTACCACCACTATTCCAGTCATGAATTTACCAAGTAACTGTTACTACATTTTTTAAAAAGTTAGAAGTTATATTTATGTAAATAAATTAAGTAAAATATTGTCATAATTCATTGCACTGCTGTGATGAAATGATTAAGGAAATATTACATGTTTAGTATTGACTGATATATAATAAATGGTAAATATATTATACATTATTAATAAAGGTAAAAGGTCAACATTAACTTGAAAAGTACCACTTCATGACATCATAAGGTGGAACAGAGCATTCTGAGCTTTGGAGATGTAGACAGACTTAATAATAAAGAGTTGCTCAAACATGTGTGAATGCAAAACAAACAAACAAAAAAACAAACAAACAAACAAACAAACAAACAAACAGACACACACTCCAGGTCTGTTTTTGAGAAAGTAACAGAATTCTAACATGTCTTAATGCATCAGTTTTTACAGCACTTTTCTGGACACTCAAAGACACTTTACTGTTCATTATTCATTCACTCCACACTCAGTGGTGGTAAACTACTACTGTAGCCACAGCTGCCCTGGGGCAGACTGACAGAAGCGAGGCTGCCAATCTGCACCACCATCACCCATGCACACATCACTTTCATACCAGGCAATGTGGGTGAAGTGTCTTGCCTAAGGACACAATGACTGAAGTTTTTGTGACCTATTTTCCCAGTGTCTCCCAACCAAGTATGAACCAGACCCAGACCTGCTGAGCTTATGAGATCTGACGGGATCAGACTTTGACAGGCAGGTATGTCTTAAAGCTCACAAGAGTCAATTTTATGTAATATAGAACCTTTAAGTAAAGTACAAACAACCTCCATGGAACCTGAGTGACGATCTAAAAACTCTAACACTGAAAAAGCCTCTAAAAAAACTATATGAAGCGTTATGTTTTGAAAGATATACAGCTGAATGAATGAATTATGCATTAAATTTAGTTTTGTATTTATATTTTGTCTTTTATATATACAGTCAGTTGTAAGTGAAATTGTAAATGTAAACTTGTTGTTCATACGCTGCTTTTCTTTCTTGGAATACTGTTATTGTTTAAGAGGGTTTGGCTTTATAAATACTTTTTAATTCAGCCTAAACCTTTTCAGTCATGATCCATGGGGTTGTACTCTATGTTTTGTTTTGTAGTGTGGCAAAATGACTGAACTACAACTACTACTACTACTACTACTACTACAGATACCTAAAGAGTATACTTAAGTACAGTACTACTTTTACTTTGTTATGTTCCATCATTGCAGATTGACTCCATTTTCTCCAGTGAAATCACATTATGTCCCTTCACTTCTGCCTCCAGTCGTCTGTATTCTGAAACTCATATATTGTATTTTGTTTAAGTTTTACAAAAGATATAAGTAGACAAAAACAAGAGTGTGAGAAATGTGATTATAAAAGCCGTTTTAAAGCAGCCCACAGCAGCAGGCTCATGTTGCGCCCAGTGAGCCGAGGCCTTTTATTAGAGAATCAAAATAAACAAGCGATTCATTGAAATGGTTCTAGAGCGGCTGTAGAGCTTAAACAGCTCTGTGCAGACGAGCCGCACGCACCAACACTAAACACTAAACACACACAATACACACGAAACTAAGGACAAACCAGGACTGGACCAGGACTAAACCAGGACTAAACCAGGACTATATCAAGTGTAAAACAGGACTAGACCACAACTAGACCTGGACTAGACCAGGAGTAGAGCAGGACTAGACCAGGACTAAACCAGGACTAAACCAGGACTAAACCAGGACTAGACCAGGACTAAACCAGGACCAGGATATATTCTCAAGTTTAAAATATTCGCAGACTAAACCAGGACTAAATATTCTAGGACTAATTGGGCTATATCAAGTCTAAAAAAGGACTAAACCAAAACTAGACCTGGACTAGACCAGGAGTAGAGCAGGACTAGACTTGGACTAGACCAGGAGTGGAGCAGGACTAAACCAGGACTAGACCAGGAGTAGAGCAGGACTAAACCAGGACTAGACCAGGAGTAGACCAGGAGTAGAGCAGGACTAAACCAGGACTAGACCAGGAGTAGACCAGGAGTAGCCTAGAATTAGACCAGGACTAGACCAGGACCAGGACCACACAAGGACCAGGAGTAGACAAAGACTAGACCAGGATTAGACAAGGACTAGACCAGGAATGGACCAGAGCTACACCAAGGCAAAGTCTAAACTAGGACCAAACCAGAACTAAACCAGGACTAAATTAAAGGTGCAGTGCACAAGTTTTATAGTATAGGATCTGGTACCTGCTTGTCTCCATGGAGATGCAATTACTTTGCCTGGAATGTTCCATGGTATGACATTAAACATAGCCATCTAGTATTTATTTGTGACAGGTGTTTCTCTTCCTGTAACAGATAATACTCCCTACAACTGTACAACAACTCACCCTTATGTAACAGATAATACTCCCTACAACTGTACAACAACTCACCCTTATGTAACAGATAATACTCCCTACAACTGTACAACAACTCACCCTTATGTAACAGATAATACTCCCTACAACTGTACAACAACTCACCCTTATGTAACACATAATACTCCCTACAACTGTACAACTCACCCTTATGTAACAGATTATCCTCCCTACAACTGTACAACTCACCTTGATGTAACAGATAATACTCCCTACAACTGTACAACTCACCCTTATGTAACTGATTATCCTCCCTACAGCTCTTTCATTTATTATTCATTCCATTAACCTCGGTTAGAAATATAGTTACGACACATATTTTTTGTTTCTATAAAGCAGTTATGAGTTATGATATGTTCTAGGTTTGAACTTACCCTGAGAAAGGCGTCCAGGGAGCCGTTGGACATGCTCTCCTCCACGATCATCATGGTGTTACCTGCAAACACACACAGAGGTTACACAAACATCTAGAGTGGAGCTTGAGGTTTAATGAAGACGTGAGGACACGGCCGAGTGGAGAGAGCCACAGTATGTGGCACTGAGACGGCCGCCATCTTGATACTGTCATCCACCAGTGAACAGAGACAGAGCCAGACCTGCAAACCACCCAGCAACACCCAGGACCACCCAGCACCACCCAGCACCACCCAGACCACCCAGCACCACCCAGCACCACCCAGCACCACCCAGGACCACCCAGCACCCAGGACCACCCAGGACCACCCAGCACCACCACCCAGCACCACCCAGCACCACCCAGGACCACCCAGGACCACCCAGCACCACCCAGCACCACCCAACACCACCCAGCACCACCCAGCACCACCCAACACCACCCAGCACCACCCACCACCCAGCAAGATCCAGCACATGCTCCAGTCTGCACTCATTGATCTGAATGGAGAAGAACAGAGAAGACTACAGTAAAACATACTTTATGAACCAGGACTAGACCAGGACTAGACCAGGACTGAACCAAGACTGGACCAGGACTAGACCAGGACTGGACCAGGACTAGACCAGAACTAGACCAGGAGTGAACCAAGATTGGACCAGGACTAGACCAGGACTGGACCAGAAGTGGACCAGGACTAGACCAGGACTAGACCAGGACTGGACCAGTAGTGGACCAGGACTGGACCAGGACTAGACCAGGACTAGACCAGAACTAGACCAGGAGTAAACCAGAACTAGACCAAGACTAGACCAGAACTAGACCAGGAGTAAATCAGGACTAGACAAGGATTAGACCAGGACCAGACCAGGACCAGACCAGGACTAGACCAGGACTAAACCAGAACTAGACCAAGACTAGACCAGAACTAGACTAGGACTAGGCCAGGGCGAAACCAGGACTATACCAAGACTAAACCAGGGTTAGACAAGGGCTAGACAAGGACCAAGGACTCGACCAGTACTAGACCAGGGCGATACCAGGACTAGACAAGGACTAGACCAAAATGAGACTAGGACTAGACCAGGACTAGACCAGGATTAGCCAAGGACTAGACCCGAACTACACCAAAACTAAACTGGGATTAGACAAGGACGAGACAAGGACCAGGACTTGAACAGGACTAGTAGATCAAGATTAGACAAGGACTAAACCAGAACTAGACCATGACTAGACCAAGACTAGATCATGAGCTAAACTAAAGCTAAACCATGATTAAACCAGGCCTAAAGCAGGTCTAAACCAGGTCTTAACTAGGACTAAACCAGGACTAGACCAGGTAAAGGTAGTGTATGATGTAAATTCAGGTGACTGGTGTAAACACTGGTTCTCTTGTATTCTTCTGTGTAGAACTTCTGTGCAGTTGAGCTGTAGAAAAATCACACATGTGGACGGAGCACTTCCTGCACGTTTTCTTGTATCTCAATAATAACGACACTGTGTTCATTTTGTTCCTCTTACAAGCCTCAAACTCTTAACTACTCTCTCTCTCTCTCTCTCTCTCTCTCTCTCTCTCTCTCTCTCTCTCTCTCTCTCTCGCAGCTTTGCCTCATAAATCATCTTCCTCTCCTCCTCCTCCCTCTATCCTCTCCTCTCTGTCGTCTGTCTCCCTGTTGCTTTCTCCATTTCTCTACCCTTCCCTCTTTCTGACTTCTCTCTCGTCCTCTCTTTTCTCTCCATTTCCTCTCTCTCTTCTCTCCTCTCTGTATCTCTCCTTCTCTCCTCTTCCCCTCCCTCTGAGTCTCTCTTTCTCTCCCTCCCTCTCTCACCACTCTCCCTCTTTCCTCCTCCTCTCTCCCTTACCCTCCTCTTTCTCTCGCTTCTCACCATCCCTCATCCTCTCTTCCACTCTCTCGCCCTCACTCTCTCCTTTCTCTCCTGTTGTCTCTCCCTTTTTTCTCCTCCTCCTCTCTCTCTCCTCTTTCTCCAGACCTCTCTCCTTCCCTATTTCTTCTTCTCTCTCCTCCCTCTGTCCTTTTGTCTCCCCTCCCCTCCTCCTCTGTCCTCTTTCTTATGTCATCCTCCCATCCCCTCTCCTCTCTTTCTCCCCTCCTCTCTCTCTTCCTCCATCTCTTCTTTTTCTTCTGTTCTCCTTCTCTTCTCGTCCTCCCTCTCTCTCCTCTCCTCCTCCTTCTCTTTCTCCTACTCCCTCTCTCCTCTTTCTTCTGTCTTCCACCATTTCCCTCTCTCTCACCCCTCTTTCCTCTACTCCTCCCTCTTTCTCCTCTCCTCCTCTCTTTCCTCCCTATCTTTCCTCTCCTCCTCCCTCTCTCTCCTCTTCTCTCTTCTCCTCTCCTCCTCCCTCTCTCTCCTCTCCTTCTCTTTCTCCTCCTCCCTCTCTCTTTTTTCTCTCTTTTTCTCTCTCCTTTTTTCTCTCTCTCCACCATTTCCCTCTCTCCTCCCTCTTTCCTCTTCTCTTTCTTCTGTCTTCCACTATTTCCCTCTCTCTCACCTCTCCTCCTCCCTCTTTCTCCTCTCCTCCTCTCTCCTCCCTATCTCTCCTCTCTTCCCCTCCCTCTCTCTCCTCTCCTCTTTCTTCTGTCTTCCACCATTTCCCTCTCTCTCACCTCTCTCCTCTCCTCCTCCCTCTTTCCTCTCATCTTTCTTCTGTCCTCCTCCATTTCTCTCTCTCTCACCCCTCTCTTCTCCTCCTCCCCCCTCCTCTCCCTTCTAGTCCTCCCTTTCTCCTCTTTCTTCTGTTTTCCACCATTTCCCTCTCTCTCACCGCTCTCCTCCCTCTCTCCTCTTCTCACCTCTCTCCTCTCCTCTCTCTTCATCTCTCCTCACCTTCCCTCCATTCCTCCTCTCCTTCTCCTCTCCTCCCTCTCTCCTCTCCTCTCTCTTCTCCTCTCCTCAACCTCCCTCTTTCCTCCCTCTCTCCTCTCCTTCCTCTTTCCTCTCATCTTTCTTCTGTCCTCCTCCATTTCTCTCTCTCTCACCCCTCTCTTCTCCTCCTCCCTCTCTCTCCTCTCCTCTTTCTTCTGTTTTCCACCATTTCCCTCTCTCTCACCTCTCTCCTCCCTCCTCTCCTCTCCCTCCTCTCTCCCTCTCTCCTCCCTCTCTCTCTCTTCCTCTCTCTTCCTCCTCTCCTCCTCCTCTCCTCCTCTTCTCTCTCCTCCTCTCTCCTCTCTCTCTCTCCTCTCTCTCTCCTCTCTCTCCTCCTCTCCTCCCTCTCTCCTCTCCTCCTCTCCTCCCTCCTCTCCTCTCGGGTCCAGATGGCTCTGTTCCAGGCGTGTCCGGGTGCACAGGGTGGTGAGAGCAGACTGCAGCAGTGAATTATGGGAGTCTGAGTCAGTGGGAGAGCGGTTGCCAGATATGTAAGCGACTTAATGCTGAAAATGAGCGGCCGGTCGTTCATTTGGCGGCGATGATGGAGGATCCTGTTAACGCTGGATTCTGTTAACGTTAACATTGGCTCATAACTCAGACGAGGACAGTGAGTTTAGAAGAAGAAGTGTCCATGGTCCGTACATTTTATTAGCGAGCGTCAGGGTAATAAAAGAACTCAAGAATGAATACGGACGGAAGATTTGTCCTTTAATATCACGCAACACTATTCTGAAATCATACAGCGCTTAAAGCCTCATAATGATCTACACAAAGGCAAAATAAACTAAGGACATGTATTGGTTGAATGGATTAAAGCCACAGTATGTAACATTTTAGGCATAAATCGTGTATATGTGCACAGAGAACGTTTCAATTTCGTCTTTTCATGACCGCGATCGGCCCACGTTTTCGCCAACACGAGTACGAGCACACTGCTTACTCTGTTTTCTAATTTTATTTTCTTAATTGGTGATACACGAAGGATTCGGCGATGAAAAATTTTAATAAACTGAAAGGAATAAATGAATCAAAACAAAACATAAAACGAACACTAAACCAGAATTAAGCAAAAACTAAACCAGGACTAACCAACGACTAAACCAAGATTAATCAAGACTAGACCAGGACTAGATCAGGACTAAACCAGAAAACCAGGACTAACTACCAACTAGACTAGGACTAAACTAGGTCTAAACCAAAACTAAACTGGGACTAACCAACAACAAGACCAGGACTAAACAAGAAATAAACCAGGAGTAACCAATGACAAGACTAGGACAAAACCAGGGCTAAACCAGGACAAATCGATGACTAGACCAGGATTAAACCAGAATTAAACAACGACTAACCAACAACTAGACATGGACTAAATCAGGACTAAACCAGGACCAAACCAAAACTAAACCGGGACAAACCGATGACTAGATCAGGACTAAACCAGAATTAAACCAAAACTTTAACAAAACTAAACTAGGACTAACCATTGACTTGACTAGCACTAAACCAGGACTAAACCAAAACTGAACAGGACTAAGTAACAACTAGACCAGTACTAAACCAGAATTAAACCACGACTAACGGCTAGACTAGGACTAAACTGGGACTAAACCAGGACTAACCAATGACTAGACCATGACTAATATAGAATTAAACCACAACTAACCAACAAATAAACCAGGACTAACCAATGATTAGACTAGAACTAAACCAGGACTAAACCAAAAATAAACCAAAACTAAACCAGGACAAATCAACAGGACAAATCAACAAGAATTCAACCATTACTAACCAACAACTAGACAAGAACTAAACCAGGATTACACCAGGACCAAACTAAAACTAACCTGGACCAACCAATGACTAGACTAGAACTAAACCGGGACTAAACCAAAACTAAACCGGGACTAACCAAAAACTAAACCAGGAGTAACCAATGACAAGACGAGCACTGAACAAGGGCTAAACCAGAACTAAACCAAAACTATACCAGGACAAATCAACAACTAGACTAGGACTAAACCGGGACCAAACCAGGACTAACCAATAACTAGACCAGGACTAAATCAACACTAGACCATGACTAGACCAGGACTAAGCTAGAATTAAACCAAGACTAACCAACGACTAGACCAGACTAAATCAAGACTAGACCA